GGGGGGGGGGGGGGCAAAGATCCTGTGTGCCAATATAACCAGGAAGGACTCTTTCCCCGGAGTTGTCTAATCTAATCTGCTTGCTCCCCCCCCCCCCCCCCTCCCGCCCCCTTGGGCCCCGGATTCGAACCCCCCCCCCTCCTTTGTAAAGGAGCGTGGAAAGGAAAGTGTGTTTTGGAAAGGCGTTCTGACATTCGGAGGGGAATAAATAAAGTTTCTTGAAGGTTCCCGGGGGTGGAAGGGGGGAGAAAAACCCGTGAGTTGGAAGGGGGGAGGGGAAATCCTCTCTGCACCCCAACCCTGCCCCGTCCTCAATTAGGGGTGCCCCTGTAGCTTACCCCATCCGGTGCCCATGGGGCTGGCCGTGGGAGCCTCCGGAAGAGGCGGCTGGAGGGCCCCTAGCAGCCCAGCCTGGTCTACTTCTCTTTCTCTCTCGTCACCTGTTCCTCCTTTTCCCCTTCAAGAGAAGGGAAACTGCGTCAGGGCAGGGGGGGTTTGCAGGGAACACCCCTTTTTCTGGGGGGGGGGACGGGGGTGGGGGGGGGCATGCTGCCCCCAAAGCCTTGGGCGAGAAATTCAAACCCCCCCACCCGCCGCCCAGCAAGGGAAAAAGGAAAGGGGGGTTTCTGCTAGGGAGGGAGGAAAGAATTAAGGGGGGGGGTGAAGGGAAGAGAGAGGAAAATGGAGGGAGGGAAGAATGGGAAGGGAAGAGAGAGAGGAAGGAAGGAAGGAAGGGAGGAAGGAAGGAAGGAAGGAAGGAAGGAAGGAAGGAAGGAAGGAAGGAAGGAAGGAAGGGGGAGGGAGGGAGGGAAGAATTATAGGGGAAGGGGAGGGAGGAGGGAAGGAAAGAATTGAGAAAGGAAGGAAGGAAAGAAGGAAGGAAGGGAAGGAGAGGAAGGAAAGAATTAGGGGAGGTGAAGGGAAGAGAGAGGAAAATGGAGGGAGGGAAGAATTAGAAGGGAAGGGGAGGGAAGAGAGAGAGGAAGGAAGGAAGGAAGGAAGGAAGGAAGGAAG